ATTTGTTGGCTAGGCACCGCCAAACTGAACGGGGACAGGGGCAAGGACAGAAGGTCTTCGTGCCACCTTACGGTCGATTTATACTATCCGTATACGGCACGAACGGATACGGAACGGTTCGGTTCAAGCAAACGCATCTTGCGTTTATATTATCCGTTCGGTACATAATATTTCGGTTCCGGCCATGGGAATACTGACCTTTGCCTTTTTTTTTGTACGTGGGGAAATCCTCATGGACATCCGTGGGCCCACCCGAAAGGAGGGCCGGCGGGTAGTGCCGGACTCTTACCGGCTAAAACCCCACGGTGACTATTCTCAGGCGCCTGGCGGAGGACCGGGAACTCTAATGAGCCATCACAAAATCCCCCTCCGCTCCTTTTGAGGCCCCTCCCGGTGAGAGGCACTCCTACCACCGCATTCCCACTCAACCGCAGGCGGCTGGTCATCAACGCCCGCGGCCCCGTGACATGGGTCTAAAAGCCGCCGGTCACGTGGCCACGTTAGCCGCAGGACTCATCCGCAGCCAACTGGCCAATCTGCGGTCTTAGGTAAGACCCGCGGCAAATATCCCATGTCCTAGTCCACTCACACACACATTCATACCGGTGTTTGGCCGCGGGAGCTTTTGCTCCGACCTCCAGGATGCCATGAGAGGATGCAGGTTGATGACCCCATCCCCGCAACCCATACCAGCGGCTGTCCCTATCCGCCACCTGCGGACGCGCCATATAGGGGTTCACCTTCCCTGCCGCCTGGACAACCAAACGGGTGCATGGACTGATCTTCGCCTGTCCGCAACGTAACGTGTCTAAACGTGTCATAACGCTAGATATAAACGCTCGCATTCCAATACCTGCAATAATGTCTGCCCGAACTGGAGATGCTGTTTGGAGATGAACGTTTCGTGCCTGAATGGATAATATAAATGGACGTAACCTAACACAAGATGCATTTGCCTGAACCGAACCGTTCCGTATACGTTCGTACCATATACGGATAGTGTAAATCGACCTTAAATTGGTGCGAAGCCTTCTCTCCTTACCCTTGCCCCCGTTCAGTTTGTCGATGCCTAGCCAACCAGTCATCTCTCTATAGTAAAAAGTATCAGGATCACAGAATAGAAGTACGCTAGCAGGCCAGGGATAAAAACGCTCCCCTCTTCTTTCCTTTTCTATCCCCTCCCACGACCTTTCTCGATTTCCTAGTCAAACAAAGCAACGGCATAGACAATTAAAAAAAATTGTTTCCAAACCTTCAAGAAATGATTTATACATGGTAAATAGGTAATTTCGACCGAATCCACACATTTTCTGTGAAAAATTCGTAAAAATACTGCTCGTTTTGGACCCATCAATGTAGTGTGACCTCTTAAATAGAATAGATCATGTTACGATTATTAATCGTCAGTTTTAATATGAATGCTGTTGCACTTTTAAACTTTTATTTTACTAACGATACTTTAAGGAAACTGATTGTGACTTTATTAAAAGATCAGAGTTGTTATTTTGTATTAAAATTGGTAGAATAAAAAATTATTTATTATTTGTATATTATGAATGTAATTATGAGGCTTAAAAAACAGTTTTTCAAAGAATATGGATTCTTTTTTATTAAAATAAGACAAGCAATGTTGCGTAATGTTAATAGCTTTGAAAATAATAAATGGTGGAATAAATCGGATCATAAATATATTCGGTAAAGAATCGCCTTTACTGAGCTACTGACGAAAGAACGGTTGCGCTTATGAATAGAAAAAGACACAAAAGGATTCGCGTCACCATATTTGGCAACGTCGCGAGCGACCACCAGTTCTGCAGAGCATGATTGGTTCCTTAGTCGATTTTGCTGCTGCCTACTACTGCCTAACCTCTCAAGTATCAACCTAAAGTATGTCACTATATACCAGAAGATAGCATTACCAAGTATAATTTTATGGCGCTGCTTTTGCTTGTGTAGGAAACGAGAAGCATGGTAGGAAGGTACAAAAGGAAAGGAGAGGGGAGCAATTCATCCCGGGTCTGGCTAGTGGCCCCATCAGTAAGGCTTTCTAGCGGGCCCTGCCTTAGACGTCGGAATATTGTGTAATCGGTCGAGGAGCTTATACATAGGAACTGGAGGTCGGTCGAGCGCTTGTACGAGAGCGATCCCTCTGGTGGCGAATACGGGAGATGACGCCACAATTTCTACACAATACTACTGTGCATTCGTAAGAAGAAGTTCGCTAGCGGGACGACACCTATCCCCAGTTTCGTTATTTCGGCCAATAGCGAGAATACGTATGATGGGATTCTAAACTAGAGTGGGAGGATCGGAGCACCAATCAGACCCGCATTCCTTTCTCTATCCAAGTTTTCGCGGACGCACAATACGGTACGATAGAAGCTCCAAAATTGCAACGGGAGTAATTAAACATTAAAATGTTGATTCGAAGATCGTTTTATCGGGCGCAGCCGGCACGGAGGTATCGGACGAATAAGGTAAAAGGTTCCTCTTTGAAAGCGAGCCGACCTCGACAAGGTCGGTACATTAGGCACCCTTAATCGAGCCACGGTAGTCAGGGTAATGACGTGTGCTCGAGCACACGGTTCACGGTGTTTAACACTTTATCTATCTCCTCCAAGTTATTAATGACACTCGCTGAGTCAGATGCCGCGGCAAAGTGCGGCATCTTCAGAGTTTAATATCCGAAGAATCGAGTCACTCGGCCGACTACTCGCGGACTTGTACTCCTGGCCTCGAGTGTATACTCGTGGCCGGAGCATTTCACTTCCAATATCCTTCACCCTGGCGAATCGAGTGTCCCTGGGCGGCAAACGAGTACATAGAGAGCGCCTTTCATTTCGCGCGAACCTACCGCCAACGAGTGCTTTGAATATAAAGAAAAAAATACCAAGAAAATGAATTCCTGAGTTACCGGGGCGAGAAATCTCCTGATAAAGATCGAGGAACCGCGATGTAAACAACAGCCACCGTTCTGCTTGTACAAGATTTATCGACCCAGAATCGAGATTAATTTTTAATATTAGTATTATAAGAAGTATCGATAATATTACATTTTTAATCAAATATTCACTAAAATTAAGAATAAACGTCTTAATACGCGAAAGTTAATTAAGGTTCATCTCCGAAAGGATTAGACAGATGTAACGTCGTGTTAATTCCGCTTAAATAGTTTTTGACTTAAATTTAAATGTACAGTTGCGAACAAAACTAAGTGAACAGGTAGGGAAAATAGATATACTATAACTATTATACACTCAAGTTTTATATATTATATATCTTTATGTACATATGTGTATTCACCAAAAATAATTGTAATTGAGCTCCGCAACCAAAAATAATTTTTTCAGAATGATTTGAAATTTTTTGATTTAATTTTTTAATAAATTTTTAATGAAGCTTCAGTCAAGAAATTGATATTCTTGATTTTAATCTTATTTTGACCTCTAGTATCTCGCATTAAAATTTTTCCCAAGGGTAGCCAAACACCCTGTATATGTATACATATACCAGTATCATTCTAGAGGAAAATAATGTAGAGTGATGATTAGAAATATAAACTGCAGCAATTAAATATAGAAGAAGAATCATGTATGGAGAAAAAGAAACGAAGTCTACAAAAAGCCATTTTGTATTAATACATCAACTGTTAAATTTGGTGGAGGATCGTTAATGTTGTGGGGGTGTCTTTCGTGGAATGGAGTCGGCAATTTGGTTCAGATTGACGGAACAACGAATGCGAACAAGTATATTGAAATAATAAATGAAAATTTAGTAGAGACAGTTACGAAAATGAGACTCGAAGAAGAATTTATTTTGCAATAGGGCAACGACCCGAGGCCCGCAGTTGAAAGTAAAACAAACAAATTTTTGAAGATTCGAATATTGAATTATTGGAATGGTCGACACAAAGTCCGGATTTGAATTTAATCGAAAACTTATGGAGCGTACTGAATACAAACGTGCGATTAGAAAAACGGCAGAACAAGAATAATTACTTTAAATATTTACGATCGGCGTTTGAAAATATTGATAAAAATTCCATTGAAAATCTGCTAAATAGCATTCCACGATGTTTAAAAGCAATTATTGCAACAAAGGGTGATGATACTACATATTAATTTTATATTTTTGTATATTTTATTATCTATCCACTTATTTAACCAACATTTTCGTTAAGTATACCTTATTTCAACACAAATATAAATATTAATTTCAATTATACGTTAAATAATCTATGTACCATGATGATATATAATATATAAAACTTAAGTGCATAATAGTTATACTACTGTGGTTAAATTTAATTTATACTTATTTCCTTTACCTGCCCACATAATTCTGTCCGCAACTGTATATTATTATACATTATCGTGTTTCGTGTGTTTGATTTATTTCGAACGAATTTTTTACATGTTTCAATTTTTAGTTTTCTATTTTATCGTACATTCTACAACGTTTCTAGAAACGTGACATTAAACTTTATCGACGAAAAGAATCGCGTTGCGAACATCGCGACAAACAAGCTGAATAAATAATAAGCAACGTAAATTTTCTTCCGCGAGGCAATGGTCAGATTAACGCAAGTTATCATCCTTCGATATTGTATTATATATATTATAGTTAATAACCGAGTCATTGATCTTTCTTTGCACGTAATTATTTTTAATTATCGAGAAATATTCCATGTTTAAAAGCGTCAGAAAATAATCGGTGAAAGGTCATATGAATTTTTAATGAGACATCGAGCGACGCATTCTTGAATAACGCATAGCTACCATTTTGATCGACAGTCGCAATCCAGTCGTTATCCTGTGAAGACGGTTTTTATTATCGTTAAATAGTTTCACACATTCTGACGTCGTTGTCGCGATAACCACGATCTTTTTAACAAACATTATTTTGTATTCTTTGCACGATGAAACATCCACGGTAGTAAGATATAATAATTCTAACTACGTTGCATCAAGCAATAGATTCGACTTAAGAGAATTGCATTCATGGATTCGAATCTCTTGTCGCTGAGGAGGAACACGGAACGCAAAAAGAAAATATTATGTAAAGAAATATTGGGGAAAATAGTGCGAAAATGTTTCACCACTTTAAAGAAAAAGACTATGAATTTTTGCCTCGAAACTGGACTACACGGTTACAAATATATTGCCGAGACTCACCGTTCTACCCCAGTCAGGTAAACGCGCCAATTTTATAAATGTTCACGCACACGGAAAAATATACACATCTTAAAAGGCGTTTTGCTGCACGGTGCTGTAATTTTAATACTTATACAGGGTGTTCGGCCACCCATGGGAAAAAATTTCAATGGGAGAATTTAGAGGACAAAATAGGACGAAAATCAAGAATACCAATTTGTTGATGGAGGCTTCGTTAAAAAATTATTAACGGTCAAAGTTACGCCTGTAGATAGGCAACCTGCGTACAGATGCGTACACTAGCGTCTTACATGCGTAACTAGTTATTAACAAAATTAAATTACAAAATTTTAAATCATTCTGACAAAATTATTTTCGATTGCGGGGGTTAATTGTAATCATTTTTGGTCAATAGACATACCCTCGAAATCGTAACCATTTTTGAGAAAAAAAATTCATTACCGAACATATAATTTCAGGCCAGAAATATCATAACTTCTGAACGGATTGAAAGATTTTAACGTTTCGAAATGCAAATAACGCGTATTTTAGTGAAGAATATGTAGAAATTCTAACAATATTGAAAAAGTTGTTCCTTGACCACGTAAAGTTAGAAAAACCCCATAAAAATGGTTCAATTTTTAAACGGCCATAACTCCTACAGTAGTGAATATGTTTCAATGAAACTTTTTTCTGGAGTAGAGCTCATAGATAAAAGTATTAGACAACTTCTCTATATGGCGTCAAACAAAATTATTAAAAATCAAAAACAAATTTTTAAGGAAAATCGACAGGGGATAGGTGCTTAAATTTTTCGGCGAAAAAAAAATTTCAAATCGTCCTGGAAAAATTATTTTTGGTTGCGGAGATCAATTACAATCATTTTTGGTGAATACACATACCCCCAAAATCCTATCCACTTTCAAGAAAAAAATTCAGTACGGGCGAAACTTTAAACGTTAATCACTTTGTAACGAAGCCTCCATCAATAAATTGTTATTCTTGATTTTCATCCTATTTTAGCCTCTAGAATCCCCCATTAAAATTTTTCCCAGGAGTGGCCGAACACCCTGTATTTCTACCACTGTATGTCGAAGAAAAAAACAAAATTATTTTCTTGACAGTTGTATTTTTACGAATTCCGTAGACGCGCCGTATATTTATTCACTATTTCGATCGCGTGACTTCAGTAGAAAAACAATTTAAATCGAACCTGTAATCTGATTGAATCGCGCGATTTTTTATTAATTTCCATAGGATCGCGTGGGCAGTAATAGTAATTACATTTCTGTGCATCGCACTTGTAATAATAAAATTCACATTTGATTTTTATACCGAGCACCAAGTTTCCACGGTCATCGAATCGACCCACCACGGAATATGGAACTATCCGTTTCCGGCAGTGACTCTGTGCAATATTAATCGTATGTCCGTCAGATTGACGCGGAAATTGGCTGAAAAATTGTAAGTTTTTCTTATATCACGTCTCGTATCGCGTGAGCAGAATATTAATCACTGTTGAACCTTGATAATTGCTCATTTTATACCGGTTGCCTCAGCTAAAAAAGGCCACCTAAATATCTCCTTTATTTTTAATGGCATAACAAATATTTATGGTGTAATTTAAATGATATCGGAAGAGGAATACCATACAAGACAAATTTTTTGGTAATTATTTAGAAGTTTGCCCTCCTCACCGATTTTCGTGACCTTGAAATATGTTGCCAAGGTCATCATTCTGAACAACTTTCCCCTATACATGTTACCGGCGCTCGGCCTTAGTTTCCGAAATTTTCGTAAAAAACTGTAGTTATACTTATGTCACCAGTATACCCTGTATTCCGGGAAAAATGGAGACTGAATGGTGATTGAAAGAGTGATTGAAGTGGTTTGAGGTTATATTTTGTGGGAGGGAGGGGGGGGGGGAGGATCCTTCTCAAATATAATATACAATTCATTGTAGTGTTACATATCATTCATGTATGGGATCGAAACGTTTGGTAGCTTGGGCGTTGGCCCGATGATCTAGCGCGCAACCCCTCCGGACGGGGTTGACTCATGCCGTATGTGAGCACCCGGCCCAATTTTCATTACCTCATATGGTAATACGCCACCATTGTACAGAGCAATTGCGAGTATATAAGGGCCGCGTTTTCTTACTCGACGAGCTCAATTTTTCTAAAACTCTCAACACATCGTTACTTTGACACTCGAGGCAAGATCGGGCTATAATCCCCATCAAGCAACGCACCTACCTTAGAAGTTTTATTAGTGAGTGTTCATTAGACTAATCGAGAAGTAGCTCCCGCAAACGCGCAAACCGACATAGAACTTTCGCTGTCAAGGCAGCCTAGCACTAGGACTAGTTCTGTTAATTGACCATTGTACTTGAGCATCGACTAGAATATATTCAAGTAGTTATCCTCACTTGCATTATTCACTTAATACAACCCTGAACCCTATTAACAGTAAGATTAGGGGTATCTCACGAACCCGGTACACCTTCACCGCTCGAGGTGTACCATTACGACAGAACAAGATCCTAAAACATCCTAAAAACCTACGTGGCTCCCAGGGTATAAAGCCCCTGGTTCGTCCACTCCTTCTAGCGGCTCCCAGGGTATACATAGAGCCCCTGGTTCGTCCGGAACTCCTTCCTCTTTCCTAACCATACCTAAAACCACCAGTCGAGTACTGCCCTCGACCGAATCCAGGATCTCGCGCTCTAACAACTCTAACTAACTCTAAAAAACTCTAACAACTTATCGGAATCATTACACAAAGTTAAAAATTCATATAATTTCATTCTGAGTGAATTTCTTAGCACTATAACGACTTTAACAATACCGATACTCGTGAGTTTGTCAACAGCTAGCCTATGCCGAAATGAAGTGTACTCGTAATCTAAGTTTAACTAAAGATTTTTGCAAATATGTATCTCAAAAACTAAGGCCGAGCGGCGGTAACATGTATAGGGAAAAGTTGTTCAGAATGATGACCTTGACAACATATTTCAAGGTCACGAAAATCGGTGAGATGGGCAAACTTCTAAATAATTACCAATTTTTTTTTGTATTCCACCTACGATACCATTTAAATATATTTTTGAAATAATTACCTACTCGTGATTGTTCTTATAATTTTTCCGTTTCTTTTTTTATATCGTTTGTTTAACAAATCGCATTAAAATTGTCGCAGAAAGCTCCCGCCAGACATATCGAAAGAATTTATTTTTCAAGAGCTGAGATTGTTGAACGAGTTATTGTATCCTGGGAACTACCAAGGAAACATTCAAAACAATCTCTCGCGATTGCAAAGTATCCTCGACAGGAACGATTTGTCGATTCCAACGGCGATTAATTCCGTACGTACGAAATTATAACTACCGTGTCACGTTCAGCGTTGTGACGGACACCGGTGACCGCAATCGCGTGCGTATACGTGATTTTGGCAACCAGCCGTCATCGGCCACTGCACGACCTAAAATCAAATTTTTTTTATCGTTGAAAATCCATAAGATCTTAGTTATTGATTCTCATACAGGGTGTTCGGCCACCCCTGGGAAAAATTTTAATAGGAGATCCCAGAAGCCAAAATAAGACGAAAATCATGAATACCAATTTGTTGATTGAGGCTTCGTTAAAAAGTTATTAACGTTTAAAGTTGCATCTGTAGAACGGTAATCTGCGAACAGTTGCGTGCATGCGATTGCGGTTCTCACTCAACATGAGAAACTCTGCTTACTGACGTATCGACAGCCTTACAGTTTTGTGAGTGAGAACAACTATCACGCGTACGCAGCTGTTCGCAAATTGCCGCTCCATTGGCGGAACTTTAAATGCTAATCACTTTTTAACAAAGCGTCAATCAACAAATAGGTATTCTTGATTTTCGTCTTATTTAACCCTCTAGAATCTACCATTAAAATTTTTTCCAGGGGTGGCTGAACACCCAGTATGTATCTATAAACTAACAAGGAAGGTTCACGGTAATTAAAAAAAAATTTTGATATTATACACAAATGTAGTTCAGGTGACCCTATTAATGGAACAATTTCTTTTTGTAACGATAAATGATTTTACACAGCACAAGAAATCGAGGGAATAAAACTGGATTTTAGGTGACGGAGCCTTGCGAAAATTTTCTGGCGGCCTGTACAGTGAAATCTATTGCCCAGAATTGCAGCGTTCTGTTCGGGATGAGTTACACCCGCGAAGGAATATGCTGCAGTTATAATTACATCACAGTCAAGCAAATCACCGAAAATAATCAGTACAATTTATGTCTATACGTTTGTTATGTATCAATTTACACAGGCTTTTTCAAAATTAATCGACCAACCCATAGCTTTTGCACCCTTTGTACTCCAAGACTTTTTTTCGATCAAAATTTCACTATTTAGCTTGTGCTATACTAAAAGAGTCATATCTATAATAAAATCAATTGAAAATTTTCAATTTTTATACGTCGCTGTTAACATAATGAAAAGCAAAGCAATACAATGTAAGCAGAGATCAGCAATATTTACGTTTACGTTCACTACCACGACCGGTCAAGTGACCGTTTTTAAAATCTCGTTTAGAATTTCTAACATACAGTGTTATTTTAGCACAATTAAACTTTACGACTTTTCTTATAGTATACTTACAATGAATTTTTCAATACTCATTTCTATTCTTATTGTTTGTTTTCTGAGAAAAATATGTAGTCTAAATGTATAAATTTATTCACAGAATGTTTGCGTAATTACCAGCCAGCATTTTTTCGTAAATAATTGCTTTCAAGGGCGTTCTATTTTCTATTTGATGAAAATTAAAAAATTTCAAAGCCGAATAAGCATGGTAAAAGTGCCCCCAAACCAAACTGAACGGGGTTAATACCACTCGGTAGGTGGTTCGAAGAAAACCCTTTTCACAAAGTTTCAACCCGGTATCTCTACTACAGGGGTAATTACGGGGTGAAAATCATTTTTTGGTTTATCCTTAATATCTCCCGTTCTGCTAAATTAAGCATTATGAAAAAAATCAAGGTTATTCTACCGACTGATGTACATATTCGAGAATTTTTTCAGAATTTTTGGATGCAAATTCGATTTTTAAAAAATTCGAAAATATTTTAACCGTCGATTTTTTGTAGAAGTTATCATGTGACCACATTTGTTTTTATACAGTATAAAGCTCACAAAAGAATTAGTAATCTCTAATTTTTTCAGATTTTTCGAAGGGGTGGAACGTAGTCAAAAAAATAAAAAACGATTAAAAAATGACGAAAAGTCTTTATATTGTCTTAATTACTTACGTGACCATGTTCATATTTTTACAGCTATAGCGTAATATTATGACTATTAATGCGTAATTTTTTCAGATTTTTTGGAAAAGTGCGTTATTGTTAAAAAATTATGAATTCATATTTCCTAATTTTTCATACGGAAAAAGGCTGCACATGCTTTTAAAACAGATATAATTAAAATATATTTGTTTACATACTTTGTTAACTGGTCGCTATATGTAGTTTCAAATATGTACGCGTGGTACTGGACTCCTGTTGATTAGAACCGCTATGGCGGGGAGCGGTGCCGCGCGGCGCGATTTTGGTACAGCATCCGCATGTGTATAACATATAAAATTAATATTATATTATATATAATATATATTATGTACATGAAGTTTTTTAAATATTCCATAAATATTTTTGCTTTAATTAAAATAAATAATCTAAACAAGGTTTACCTGCTATTATTTTTATTGGCAGCATTAATAACTTGGTTTGTTCTTCAATCTTCATCGCTGTCATCATTTATTACAGGATTTACTTTTTCACTTTCAAATAATTTACTCAGTATTTCTGCAGGTTTTATTATTTTTGAAGCATATCTGGCATGCGATAGATAATAAATTATCGCAGCTATATGGGAGCAGCATCCAATTGTCCTGTTACCACTTGCACATTCACAGAAATATCGTCTAATTCCCGAGTAGCCCGTTGAATTTGATGTGTAGTCTATGTAGCACTTGTACAGTTTTTTATTAATATGTCGTGATTGCACTTTGAACTGAACTATATTTTCGTTTTGTTTTAGATAACAAAGATTTATTTCGTTTTACTCATTCATTATTTCGGCAAGATAGGATATTGCTTGGGAAAATTGATACGATCCTGTCAAAAATATTTTCAAATCTTGTTCGGTCATTTCTGGGAAGTCGAGTAAATCGTTTATTGTTATTTTCTTGAATGCAGCTTTTCGTCTGTTTAAGTTTCGCGATTGTACTTCCATACCTAGTGAATTTTCTTCGTCCTTCCTTTCTGAAAATCTTCTTAATATTTCTTCAGTGCACCCTACATCGGAATGTAATCTTTTGCCAAACATATTTTGCAGGAAACAGGCAATGCGGCAGTATGATTTGACTGCTGGAAGTAATTTATTATCCAGTTGGTGATGCAGCAGGCGATATTTCTGCCCTATTATGCCATGGATAGCTTCAACGACCCAACGCACTTTTGTGACTAATCTTGAATAATTAGCTTCTGCAGTGGTTAGTTGATGCCACTTCCCTTTCAGAGCTGGCATTAGTACTCTGAAGCCTTCCTCTTCTAGCCGTGTCTTCACGTCCCGGAAACCTCGATCGACAATGCATATATCTCCTTTCTTCATTAATGATTGTAGACCATTCCTATCTTCCATGGCAATCTTCATGATCTCGGCGTCATTTTGCGTGGCGTAGAATGGTCCTAATATCTCAACAATATATCCACTTGTTGTGCAAATTGTGAACGGTTTGCACAGCGGCATCTTTTTCTGTCCCGATCATGTCTTTTAATTGTATGAGATTTTCCCAAGTTAATCCGGTTAAAACCTGAAGGCGTTCATCCGACAACGTAAAATCACCTATTTTATTCTGAAGGGTTGAATCACAATTTGCCGAAAGATAATCGAAATAATTTTTTATTTCATCAACGTCAATTAGTGCGGAATTCGAATGGATTCGTAAATTCATCATATCTTCTCGATACAAACGCTTTTTTATTAAATGGGTAGAACAACACCGATTACCTTTTGGTATATATATTCGCCTTGAGATAAACACCTGTTTCCTCGTTTCATGTGGTACATTGATGACGTTTGTCGCAGCGCCACATATGAAGCAATATTTATGTGTTGCAATAACCCTCGGGAATGGCATTTCAATGCATTCAGTTTCTCCTGTTGTATTGCCTGCATGAGTAACATATGTCGGATCTTCTCTTGATGAAACTGATAGATCAGATGGGGATGAAGTATTATTCGAGGTATTCGTTTCTTCATGTAAAGATGGATGTTGAGGAGATTCTTGAAATGACGGAACTTCAGAAGACGGTTGATAGTGAGAAGTACTAGGAACTGCTGTATCTTGTTCTTCGGGGGACACATTTCTTGTTCTTCGATATATGATCATTCGACATTTATTGCACAGTACGTCACCAACAACAACTACTTTTCCTAATATTTGTGACCACTGATTAGCTTCGGTTGTTGTATTACTTTTCTTCTTTCGGCTGCATAATTTAAACAATGCAGCATTGCATTTAATACATCGTATATGCTTCGTATTCATGTTGCTGTTTTTGTATATATTTAAACGTTAATATAATACACTGTCACTAACACACTTTCACATATAATAATGTATATAATATACTATAAAGTTAATTTAATACACTGCCACTAACACACTTTCACATATAATAATGTATATAATATATTATAATTATATAAATCTATGAGGAACGGCACAGGACTTACCCCAAAACCGTCAAAGGCAAAACTTCTAACATATACATATATAAATATGCGTTGTAACCACGCTGTGTGCGTCTATGTGCTTTTTAATATAATAAAGTGTTATATTTATAATATTATTTGAATTAGTCTCATCCTCATCTTCCTATTTATCAGTACATAACATTATTCAGATTCAGACAAAATGGTGGCAATGTCGCGCATGCTTTACCAAAATGATCAGCGCGTCGCGCTGCGCGGCGCCGCGCCATAGCGGTTCTAATCAACAGGAGTCCAGTACCACACGTACATATTTGAAACTACATATAGCGACCAGTTAACAAAGTATATAAACAAATATATTTTAATTACATCTATTTTAAAAGCATGTGTGGCCTTTTTCCGTATGAAAAATTAGGAAATATGAATTCATAATTTTTTAACAATAACCCACTTTTCCAAAAAGTCTGAAAAAATTACGCATCAATAGTCACAATATTACGTTATAGCTGCAAAAATATGAACATGGTCACGTAAGTAATTAAGACAATATAAAGCTTTTTCGCCATTTTTTAATCATTTTTTAATTTTTTTACTACGTTCCACCCATTCGAAAAATCTGAAAAAATTAGAGATTACTAATTCTTTTGAGAGCTTTATACAGTATGAAAACAAATGTGGTCACTTGATAACTTCTACAAAAAATCGACGGTTAAAATATTTTCGAATTTTTTAAAAATCGAATTTGCATCCAAAAATTCTGAAAAAATTCTCGAATATGTACATCAGTCGATAGAATAACCATGATTTTTTTCATAATGCTTAATTGAGCAGAACTGGAGATATTAAGGATAAACCAAAAAATGATTTTCACCCCGTAATTACCCCTGTAGTAGAGATACCGGGTTGAAACTTTGTGAAAAGGGTTTTCTTCGAACCACCTACCGAGTGGTATTAACCCCGTTCAGTTTGGTTTGGGGGCACTTTTACCATGCTTATTCGGCTAGACCCTTTGTCAATTTTCTGTGTGAAGTTAAAATGCACATTCAAAGGAAAATTATTCAATATTTTTGTAGAGATTTTTAAAATGCATGTTTTAAGAACAAATATTCGACATAAAAGAGAAAGGTATCTTACGAATACAACTTTTTGTACATATGTTGCAAAAATGATAAGTACGTTGCCTCGTAGAGAAAAGAAATGGTTATACATGAAGTGATGGTAGGTTTAGTGTTAATACCTGCAGAAATGATCAAAACTCCATTAAAAAATGGCCAATTGCGTGATTTTCTCCTATATGTATAATCACCCAGCACATTTATTTGTGTTCGATTTATAACTAGACTGCGGATGTTTATGTCAATAAAATATGTCAAAATAGGAATATACAAAATATACTCAAAATATGTTCAAATAATTCTATTATTTAGACATAATAATAGTCAGTTGTAATTTAAATTACAATATGCTACGAGTATTTTTTCAATATTGTCAAGGGTTAGTTGATGATGTTTATCGCTTAAAGTTAATTTATAGGCTGAGAATGAACGCTCAACATCACAAGATGTAATTGGAGCATATTTGAATTTGCTGAAGTAGCATGCTTTAATTGTTTTAGGTTCTTTAACAATCTGACCTTGTAAAATTTCACTAATTTTTACTATTGTTTCGTAACCGGGATTTCTTGCTAAAACTGCATTCCATTTTGTTATAATTTTCTCTCCGCAAATTTCAGGAAGGCTCCTAAAATTTCGATCTACAATATTCGCCACTAATTCCATCGATTCACTTAAAGGCATTCCAATAGTTTCTAATTTTGTTATATTGTCAGGCAAAGTTTGAAAATGTATTTTGATAAATATTAAATTCTGAATTAGCGATTCATTTTGATTCATTTCTTCCAAATGCGTAGCATAAAATATTGCTACCTGAATCCACGTCCCACACCTTGTTAAAATTGGTTCAGGTGGTAATGGAAGATTTCCTAAATTTCTCCGATAACTTTCGACACGAAGTGATGCTTCGACAAATACTTTTTTAATAGAAGATACAAAATTATTTACAAGTGTAAAGTACTGACGTACTTCTTGTGCAACTCTACGTAAACCATGAATCACGCACGTTAGATACACCATATTTGGATAAAACACCTTTAAATGTTTTCCAGCTTTTATCATACAGGGTGCTCAACCAACCCTGGAAAAAATTTTAATGGGAGATTCTAGAGGCCAAAATAAGACAAAAACCAAGAATATCAATTTCTTGACTGAGGCTTCGTTAAAAAGTTATTAACGTTTAAAGTTGCGCCTGTAAATAGGCAACCTGTGTGCAGCTGCGTGCGCTAACGTCTTACTAGTAACTAGTTATTAACCAAATTAAATTACAAAATTTTAAATCATTCTGAAAAAATTATTTTCGGTTGCTGGGGTCAATTACAATCATTTTTGGTCAATAGACATACCCTCGAAATCCTAACCATCTTAAGGCCAGAAATGTCACTCGAAAATTTCACGTGTATCTTTAAAACATCATAACTCCTGAACGAATTGAACGATTTTAATGTTTCGAAATGCAAATAATGCGTATTTTAGTGAAGAATATGTAGAAATATTCATACCCATAAAAATGGTCCTATTTTCAAACGGCCATAACTCCTACAGTAATGAATATATTTCAATGAAACTTTTTCTGAAATAGAGCATATGGGTACCTACAAAAATGTCTTAAACAACTTTTCTGTATAGCACCAACCAAATATATTAAAAATGAAAAATAAATTTTTAAGAAAAATCGACAGGTAGGTGCCTAAATTTTTCGGCGAAAAAAGAAATTTCAAATCGTCCTGGAAAAATTATTTTCCAGGACGTCAATTACAACCATTTTTGGTCAATAGATATACCCCCGAAATGCTACTTACTTTTGAGAAAAAAATTCAGTACGGGCGGAACTTTAAACGTTAATAACTTTTTAACGAACCCTCCATCAACAAATTGATATTCTTGATTTTCGTCCTATTTTAACCTCTAGAACCCCCATTAAAATTTTTCCCAGGAGTGGCCGAACACCCTGTATACACAGCTGCATTGGTCACCAACAACAATATTCTATCGTACACAAAGGTTGAGTTAGTAAACTGAAATAAATATTCGGAAGCCCATATAAGCATTAATTTTATAAAAAGAAGTGCAATAAATATATATAACATATTCAGTATATTTCGACATATGTTTTTATAAAAGATATGTGGCACGCATATGGCCGCATGATGGCGCTTTACGTTAGAGTACTGTGGTGGATAGGTTCGTGCTGGGAGAGTCTTCAGATATATGAAGTTCAATTCTGTTGTGGTGTTAACTGAAGCCTTTATTTACGTACAATGCCATTTCTACCTTTGTCGTGGCGTCGAAAAGAACTGGGCCCTAAAAACCCTTGGGCCGAAAGAAAGGGGGTGCTCCAACTTAAATCTAATACTACCAACTAGTAACTTAGGTTTTACTTAAACTAACTAAAACTAACTAGAAACTAACTAAAACTAGGGACTTAACTAGATGGCACTTGCTACGCCTGCGACGTTAGCCGCCACAGTACTATGGTTACTAGGATCAACCAAGGAACACGAATTCTTTAACTCTAACCAGTATAATCAACAATTTATTTCGAATACAGAGTTTCGGCGTACACCGAAGAGAAATTGTACAAAACGTGGCTCTACGATGGCTTCTACATGCAGTTGTAGCATTTGTTTTCTCCTACGACCAACAGGAGGGTCTGTCGGTAATGTAGGGCTCTGGTCCGCCACAGTACTGGTCGACCGTAGGGGAACCTCCTGAGTGAAGCTCGCCACACGATTGCGGGGAATTCTCGTGCTTATGTATTTCAATCGAATAAAACATCTCTTCTTCGCTACCTCTGTAATTTCGCTCTATGATGTATTAGACCCGAATAAATTACATTTTATATTCTATCAGACCACAAGATATATAAAATATATGCCATATGCAAAATAAAAAATATATTTTTAAATATCTCTAGTGACGAAACAAACTTCTATTGAGGTTTCACTCTTTTATCTATTTCCTAGGAATATATCCATTTGCATAAACATCCACAGTCTAACAATAACTAAAAGTGGGTCGAATTTTTAGTTTGGCGAAACTCAAATCCGAAACTTTGCGAAGTGTCGAAACCCTCGAAATCTAAAAACGTTCTTCTTGTGTTTTTAAAAATTACCATTTGTGTCAGTAGTATGGTTGAAACCATAACATTGTTTGTTTTCATAGAAGATCGGTCAATCCATTTTTTGAATATAATTAAACGAAACTTAAATGTTTCGAGTTTGTCGACGGATTCAAAGTTTCGAGTGTTCCACTCTTAACAATAACGAATTTCTTTACTCTTTTTTAATTTGTTCGTTTATTCCGAAGACGGGAACCAGTTAGATCGGCTTCTTGCGGATACAAAAGTGGACTCGGCGTTATAATTAATTTGAAGCCGGACGATTACCATTCCAGTATCCTGGGATCCGTAGGAGTAAAGGTAATTCTTCCCTGTGTAAATCTTCGAAAGGAAATTTAATAACGCTATGGAATTTACGACAGGTCATGTTACACGATCCGTACACTTATCCAGATTTTGATGCACCCGCTAAATTAATAGGCATCGATAAATATTCCTTTTTGACCGTAAAACCGGAAAAAACCTACTCGACGTCCAACGTTAAATCGTTACCATTGTCTAGAAGACCTTACATATTTAGCGACGAATCAGCTGCAATTAAAGGGTTCAGAAATAGAGAAAGAAACTTCGTCACCGCGAAATATTCCTTTGAAAACTGCATGACGCAATGCCGAGCCACTGTAATAAAGACAAAATGCGGATGTATCCCGTATTATTATCCACAGAATGGTCAGTCTTTAATAAGTATATATTTAAAGCAATAATAATTCCCTTAAACTGTGATATAAAAGTTTTTCTATTATTAAAGTAAATCTATGTACATGTATAACTAAGGTGGACCTTAGTTACTTTTGGTCAAAAATTTTTTTTAGAATTTTGATCGTGCGGCCCCTCCAATTTGTTCCATTTTGGGAAAAAATAATTTCTACAAAAAATCATGTCTATTGAATAACAGAAAAACGTGCCACAACGGCTTTGTTTATGCAAAAAAATTACATTTCAATAAAGATGAGAAAATACCGATTTTATCACCTTATTTGATTAGTACGGGTCTATTTAGACAAAAATCTGTATAATTATAATGTATTGTGTCAGAAAAAAGTTACTTATTAAAAATTAAAAGAATTTGTTTAAACAATAAATGGAATATTTAGTGTCGCATTATTTCGTATGAAAATAATACAATCTCAGAGAACATAAAAATACAAGTTTTCAATCATTTTGTTTATGTTTAATTTAGTTGTTAGGATGACTAATCCTCAGTGACAGTCGTTTATTTTATCTTAAACTTTGATTACTGAGTTTATACTCGGTTTATAAACTTAAAATTAGCTTGCATGTAAAGGAAAGAGGTACAAGACACTAGAAATGACTTTACAAATATTCATATTTATTAAAAATTTTGACTTAGTGTTTTTTTGTCTATATTAGGGTAACGCTATTTATATCCTGTTTCAATTTACAGGATATCCTGTTTTTCTTTTTTGTCTTTTATAATACAGTTTGTATATTCTTTCATTAGTTTAACAGCTCGTTCCGTTACATCGTTGATCACTTGTAAATTGTGAACAATTTGTATCGCCTCATTATAATTATCATCTGTTTCTCATAACGCTGTGTATTTACGTCTGTAAAAATATGTATTTATTTAAAACCAAGAAAAAAAATGTAAACATTTGGGTAGAAATGAAATTATCAATAGTAACATTTGTATAATGTTTTACGTCTTTTATATGGACAAGTAATTTCTTTAAATTTTGCTGACATTCGTTCTCAAGGGCTCAAACCATTTTTTCTTCATTTCTGCAGAAATATCCGAGTGAAAAGAAGGTAATGCTATATTCTCTGGTGACAAATACCATAAGTGATTGCAATATTTTTGAAGTGTTGCATTACTTATTGCTTCATCTATGTATTTATATTGATATAAATTATTTAAAAATTCTATGTCTAATCGTGGCACAAATCCAAGCTAAAATGTATAAAACCAAAAAAATACAAATACTTTGAATTGCTAGTTTCTCCTCATTACTTAAGAAATATTCATTTCGAAAAATATATATTTTTAAGCAATGGCAAAATGCCCTAAGCATTTTAAATTTGATACCCGTAAGTGGAATTCCGCCCAGAAAAATTATCATTAGTTCGATGAGCTCTTTATAGTCGACTCTATAGATAAATGTTATAATTAAATAACATTTTTATTAAAAAATAACAACTTCTTCAAGCGACATTTTAAAATAGACTTACAGATAAGATTGCAGTAAAATTACTGAAATTCCTAAACTTTATGTCAATTGAGGCACCCTTTCCAATTGCCCTATTGACTTCCCTTTTTGCAAAAATTATTTTTTTATCAAGTTGAACAACCCCAGAGGGTCGCACATAAAAATTCCAATAATCAAAAATAAGACCCACCCTAATGTACAGTTGCGGACAGAATTATGTGGGCAGGTAAAGGAAATAAGTATAAATTAAATTTAACCACAGTAGTATAACTATTATGCACTTAAGTTTTATATATTATATATCATCATGGTACATAGATTATTTAACGTATAATTGAAATTAATATTTATATTTGTGTTGAAATAAGGTATACTTAACGAAAATGTTGGTTAAATAAGTGGATAGATAATAAAATATACAAAAATATAAAATTAATATGTAGTATCATCACCCTTTGTTGCAATAATTGCTTTTAAACATCGTGGAATGCTATTTAGCAGATTTTCAATGGAATTTTTATCAATATTTTCAAACGCCGATCGTAAATATTTAAAACAATTATTCTTGTTCTGCCGTTTTTCTAATCGCACGTTTGTATTCAGTACGCTCCATAAGTTTTCGATTAAATTCAAATCCGGACTTTGTGTCGACCATTCCAATAATTCAATATTCGAATCTTCAAAAATTTGTTTGTTTTACTTTCAACTGCGGGCCTCGGGTCGTTGCCCTATTGCAAAATAAATTCTTCTTCGAGTCTCATTTTCGTAACTGTCTCTACTAAATTTTCATTTATTATTTCAATATACTTGTTCGCATTCGTTGTTCCGTCAATCTGAACCAAATTGCCGACTCCATTCCACGAAAGACACCCCCACAACATTAACGATCCTCCACCAAATTTAACAGTTGATGTATTAATACAAAATGGCTTTTTGTAGACTTCGTTTCTTTTTCTCCATACATGATTCTTCTTCTATATTTAATTGCTGCAGTTTATATTTCTAATCATCACTCTACATTATTTTCCTCTAGAATGATACTGGTATATGTATACATATACAGGGTGTTTGGCTACCCTTGGGAAAAATTTTAATGCGAGATACTAGAGGTCAAAATAAGATTAAAATCAAGAATATCAATTTCTTGACTGAAGCTTCATTAAAAAGTTATTAAAAAATTAAATTAAAAAATTACAAAACATACTAAAAAAATTACATTTTGTTATAGGGGTCAATTACAAGCACTTTGGTGAATAGACATACACACACTTTCGAGAAAAAAATTCTTTACCAAAAATCTAATGTAAGGCCAGAAATGTTTCTCTGCATGTGAATCTTTAAAATAACTCGTGTACGGATTGGAGGATTTTAATTTTTCAAAACCAACGCGCATGTTGGTGAAGAATACGTAGGAATTCTAACAATATTGAAAAAGTTGTTCCTTGACACTGTAAAGTGAGAAAAACCCCCTAAAACTGGTTCAATTTTCAAACGGCCATAGCTCCTACAATAGTAAAGGTATCTCATTAAAATTTTTTTCTGAAACTGGGTGCATATAAAAAAGTATTAGACAACTTTCCTTTAGAGTGTCAAACAAAATTAAAAATGAAAAATAAATTTTTAAGAAAAACCGACAGGGGTGCCTAAATTTTTCGGCGAAAAAACAATTTCAAATCGTTCTGGATAAATTATGTTCGGTTGCGGGGGTCAATTACAATAATTTTTGGTGAATAGACCTACCCTTGAAATCCTACCCACTTTCTATAAAAAAATTCAGTACGGGTGCAACTTTAAACGTTAATAACTTTTTAACGAAGCCTTCATCAACAAATTGGTATTTTTTATTTTCGTCTGTTTTTGGCCTCTAGAATCTTCCATTAAAATTTTCGTCAGGGGTGGCCGAACACCCTGCATATTTTTTAGTAAAAGCTAAACGTTTTTTCACGTTGATGGTGTTAATGTGTGGGTTACGTTTACATTTGTAGTATCTTAAACCCGCCTCCTGGAACCTTCGTCATACTATTTTAAATGACTCACTTAATTTAACATTTCACCAATATTTCGCGCTGTAATTCTTGAATTTTATCGACATTTACGTGTAATTTGACGATCTTCTCCCGCGGTGGTACAACGTTTACGTCCGCTGCCTTTTAAATTTTCAACAACATTATGTAGTAAATATTTTTTGAAAACTTTGTCGACCGCACTTTTAGAAAAACTGTACTGTTTGGCTACTATACCTACAGTAACTTAATTTATTTTGACAGTTCGCAATAATCAAATTATGAATTTGATTTGAAAATTCTTTTCTTACTGACATTCTGCTGTTTACTTAGATCTTTTTTATGCAAAGCTTACGCATCAACCAAATAGTTCATTTGAGACTACTGCGTGAGAGTGAAAAGAATATCTCGCACTTGTTTACATTTTTCGCGTTGTAATAACATCTTGAATGAGTGCCCACTTATTTTTATCCCTCGACAATCTACCAACGTTTTCATTAAGTATACTTTATCTTAACGCAAATTTAAATATTAATTTCAATTATTCGCTAAATAATCTATGTTCCATAAAAATATATAATGTATAAAACTTAAGTGCATAATAGTTATACTACTTTGATTCAATTTAATTCATACCCATTTTCCCTTCCTACCCACTTAATTTTTACGCAACTGTATGTTTACATACTAACTACAGTGCCGAACATATACTTACGAACACTTGTTAAGGTTAGATTCTGTTGTTAGTAAATAAAACATAGGAAAGGTATAAATTAATTGGTACTACGTTTCTTAATGACATACATATAATTTAAAAAATACATGATAACTATTAATTAACTTAAATTATTGGAATTGGGTGAAAAAGCAGTACACTTTGTAAGTAAAAATGAAACTTTATTCTGCGGTTTGAAAGGACGTCTTTACTCTGTTAAAACTGAACAAGAAGTGAAGCGACGCTCAGATCCCCTAAAAGAAAATCTGGCGTCCACTTAAAAAGGAAAGAAACCATTGCCTGCATCATGTTTATTTCCCTGGCCCTCGACGACAAAACAGACCCAGGCCCCTAGGCCCAATGGTGCCAATACGGTCTTCGTATGCAGACAATGGACAGTGTTTCTCACTGTTAGATTCAGTTTTGTAATGATTATTTATTAATAATCCAACATAAATTTTAAACGAGATAACAATAATTAGAGTCTTTCTTGCGTTCCGTCTTACGGACATATACTTACGAACAATATATTATCGATGTCATAACATTGTTTTTAATAGTAAAATTAGATTAAATATTGCATTAACTTATATTAATTCAAGTATTTTGTTGTTTTGCCATTTGCTTTAATGACTGCTGCACAATCTCTTTGCATAGATTGCATTAAACGAATGCATCGATCAATGGGAATCAAATTCCATGAACCTTCTATTACTTTATATAATTCATTAGCATTTTTTGGCTTTTTATGTCTTATTCCCTTATCAACATCGTTCCAAAGCATTTCAATTGGATTTAAATCCGTACTTTGTACCGGCCATTTCAAAACATTAATTTTTTCTCATCCAAAAATTGTTTTACAATTTTTCCCGTATGTTTTGGATCATTATCAGCCTGATAAATCCAATCTACTGGTAATTTATAGTCAGCAAATGGCAATAAAATGTTCTTAACAATGTTTAAATAAACAAAACGATCCATCGTTTCTTCGATACGACAGATAGAACCTGTACCATTAATGGTCATACAACCACAAACAAATACGGATCCACCACCTCTTTTAACAGTTGATTTGGTACACTTTGTATTAAATTCCTCTTCGATTCTTTTCAGATATCAATGGTTTGTGCCGTGCCATTCTACCCATTAGATTAAATTCACATAAAAGTCGTTGCACAGTTCGAACACTGATTTAATTAACCAGATGTAGAGATATTTCATTATGAATAACGACAGCGGTCTTAAAACGGTCGGCCTCAGAAAGTCGATGTATCAAACGATCTGTTCGTCTGTTGGATTTACGAAATTTTGGTTTACAGGGAATATTTTCTGCAGTTTTTCGAAGATTAATATGTTGCATGGCTTTATACCAAGCTCCAAGAGATATGTCTAATTGTTGAGAAATATTTCGATACGTTAGTCCTTGTTTATTAAGAAGCTGTACTAGCGTACTAGCTGTACTAGCTGTACACGCGTATTGTGTAGCGTCGTTGTTCTGGCATTATATTTTCACCCAAACTCATGATTAACGTTTCAAATCTAGTATACGCTCCGTCTAATCACACGGACAAACTAGCAAAAACTGCCTCCGAGATCAACAAATTCAAAACAAATGCATACATTGTAATAGCATTCGTAAGTATGTGTTCGCCACCACTGTCGAGGAGTTAAGACAAAGTGTTATTCACCGTCGATAATAACAAAGTTATGTAAGAGATACAACAGAAAATAATAGTATCTACCTCAACATATAATAAAAATAGAACGATTTAAGTAATAAAGCTTTTTATAACAAAATAACAACAATGAAAGTGTAATTATTAGCATATTCGCAAGTATACAGAGTGTATGGCCACCCCTGGAAAAATTTTAATGAGAGTTTCTAGCGGCCAGAATAAGACGAAAATCAAGAATACCAATTTGTTAATTGAGATTTCTTTAAAAAGTTATTAGCGTTTAAAGTTCCTCTACTTACCGACTCAACGACAGCCTTACAGTTTTCTGAGTGAGAATCATTATCGCGTGAACGCAGCTGTTCGCAGATTGCCGTTCTACAGGTGGAACTTTAAACGTTAATAACTTTTTAAAGAAATCTCAATTAACAAATTGGTATTTTTGATTTTCGTCTTATTTTAACCTCCAGAATCTCCCATTAAAATTTTTCCCAGCGGTGGCCGAACACCCTGTATGTCCGCCACTGTAGGTGTGTGAGCTAAAACAATGCGATTCTTCGTTTTCTAATTCAGATTGGTAGTCCTGTCATAAAACGATTGATCTATTACAATATGTGAATCTTTTCTCATTATCCTCCGTACTAAAATTTTTAATAAAATACATTCCGACACAGGTACTAGAATATGCAATCTAAGGGACGTTGAGTGTATGGAAACGTACAAATGTAAGTGCAGAAACGCGAGAAGCGTAAACGTATAACAAAGAATATATGTATGTATATCGTACCATACATATTACACAATTATAAATGCGGAACGTTATATCAATCTAATTAACGTTCCAAACGAGCATCATGGATTGCAAAATAATTAAATTTAATTTCCAGACTGGTTCGAAACATCTTGGCCAGGAACGGACATGTCGCCTAGAAATTTACCATATATAGATGTGAACACCAAGTTGACGCCTTGCGGTTGTAGACCAGATTGTGATTTTTATCGATTTTCCATGGAAAATTCGATGGGAAACCTTGATAAACACTTTTCTGACAACGGCTATAAATATACAAATAACACCAGGTAATTTCTATATAATATAACAATAATAATCCGTTAACCCTTGTATTCCTTTTCATAATTTTGTATATTATTTATAAAATATCACAAAACTACCATGGTTCCCTATTAAGTTATATTTCTACGTTTAATTCTGGTATAGAAATTAAATTTAAATAGTTATTTTATTTTTTGTGAGAAAAAGTAAGGAAAAAATATTCTTTCTACACAATATCTCATTCTATATGTATAAGTGAATCAGATGAATAAAAAAAAAGTAAGCAAAGAAAATACTTTGCTATACGTATACATATAGGTTGTTCGGGGGTGATTCTGCAGACCAAAATAAAACTTTATATTAAAAGAATAAAATATTCCGATAGTGGCTTTGCCTTAAAGTTATTAACGATTAAACATCCGCCTGAATCCCAAGCCTCTCTATGGGGCTGTCTAGTGACAGCAGACGATAAATTTATCATGTAGTAACGTACTTACCGACGTATCCGACAACATTATATACGTGTTTGCCTTAATCCTTGCAATACTTGGAGTGATTCCGGATCATAAAGCATCAGAGCAGCTAGTTCACACTGTATTTTACTTTCCACGCATGAATAAACACTTGCACAAATATCGATTGGAATCGTAAACAGTAAGATGACAGACGAGGTATACGAGTAGACCCTTCACCTTATAGAGTTTCGTAACCCAATTTGACTGCCATACCGTCCTGAAAATTCGGAGGTGATTTTAGCGTCCTTTTCTTATGGATGGCGGTCAGTTGAGAAATTATTCACTAAATTAGTATTGGTGAGCTACAGCTGTAGTGTGTACGTAAATACATGTGAATTGACTATGGAACGGATTAAAGAACGCAATTTTCAAACGACCATAACACCTACAATAGTGAATATTGTTGATGAGGTCAGGATACGAAATAATAAACTTAGACACAATTAACGAACAAGATAGAAATTTATATACATGCAAATATAGCTGTACAGAAGTGTTTCGTTTGACATGTAACGACGTAATGCAACGATCGCTCGACGCAACGAAACATTCGCGACGAGCTCGAACATTTACAGCTCGAATATTCTCAGCGGGCGATGACTGGACACCTATATCCAGTGCCTGAGAAGAATGCTCGTCCATTTTTCTAACACTTCCCCTCGAAGGTACTGGACTACTGGATTTCTTCCGTAACATCCCAGTCAATCCCAGGTGACTAACACAGCCCTCGTGCTTCGATTTGCTGAGCGTCTTGATCAGCACGTCGCGTCGGCTGGCATGTTCTCAGAATAGAATATTCATCACATGCTGGTGATGAATATCCACCAGCCCTGAATCATCAGCCTCGCGAACGAAATGATGCTGGATATCTATGTGCTTGGTCCGAGTGTGAAAAACTGAATTACCTGCAAGTCTCTGGGCTCCAAAATTATCATTAGACAATTTGATAACGTTCACGCTCTCGCCGAGCTCGCGTAGAAAACGGCGAAAATAGACAGCCTCCTTGGTTGCCTCGCTGAGTGCCATATACTCAGCTTCGGTTGAAGATAAAGCCACGGTCCGCTGCTTCTTCGAATCCCGCGTTATGCACCCGCCATTCATAATAAATACCCGGTAAATGATCTCCTGTCATCGGTGCACCCAGCCCAATCCGCATCGACGAATCCTTCTATCGGCCGTTCGTCGCGCCGGTAGGTGATGCCCAGATCTGCTGTTCCTCGTAGATACCGTAGAACCAGCTTCGCTGCCATCCAGTGAGTCCTTTCAAAACACTCGTTGAACTAGCTCAGCAAACTCGCTGCATGGGCCACGTCCGGCCGCGTTGCTACAGAAAGATACAACAAAGCTCCGACTAACTCACGATAAGACGGCTTCGGTCCATCGGATGGGGCCCAGACTTCCGTTCTCGTCAACTTTGTACCCACGTCGAGGGGGATCGAAACCGAATTCACGTTCTCCATCCCGAAACGTCGCAAGATATCGCGAATATAGGTCTTCTGGATCAGCCTGATACCGTGGTTTCTCTCGAAATCTATACCTAGGCACCGTTTAAGGTCACCAAGTTCCTTCGTCTGAAAACTTTTATCCAACTCGATCCTAAAGTTAGTAACTTTAGTCAGATTCCGAGACATGATAAGAATATCATCAACGTATACAATGATCATCAGCAGATCGTCTCTGTCGCCCTTCAAATAAAGATACGGATCTCCTTTTAAAGGGATAGCTCCAAGTTTTCGGAACTCCTTATCCAACCGCTTGTTCCAGGCGCGTCCGGCCTGCTTAAGTCCGTATAAGGCTTTCCTCAGGCGACACACCTTATCACCGCTCATCAGTCTCTTCAGGTTGGTCCTCGCATCGTTCGACGTTGGCTCCCCCCTGAGAATGTATCGAAGAGTGTCTTCGACCTTCTCCGGAGCAGATTCCATGAAGATTTCCTCTTCTAATATACCGTTCAGGTATGCAGTGGTCATGTCGTACTGCCTGATGTGCATTCCTCTGCGGGTCGTCAGAGCAATCGCCAAGCGAAACGTTCCCAGACGCGCTACGGGAGCGTACGTCTCGTGAAAATCTCTTCCCGACTGCTGGGAAAAACCTCTCGCAACAATCCTAACAGCCGTTTTTCCAGGGCTCCGCTGATCCCGAACTTGTTTCGAAGCACGAAACAACTCCCAACGACGATGCGTCCCTTCGACCTATCCATAATCTCCCGGGTTTTGTTACGTAAAATAGACTTTAGCTCACTCGCCATGGCTTCCATCCATTCGTCCAACTCTGGACTCGACAACGCTTCTGTTAACGGAACCTCCGTCAAGAATACCTCTTCGACCATCGCCTCTTCAACCATTGACTTCGATTCGACCATCTGAAATACTCTACGTTTTCGACGCCGGTAGCAGTAGAGTCGACCACTTCCTCTTCTATCGTCGCATTACGTCGTTACATGTCAAACGGAACACTTCTGTACCGCCATATTTGCATTTATATAAATTTCTATCTTGTTCGTTAATTGTGTTTAAGTTTATTACTTCGTATCCTGACCTCATCAACAGGTTATGAGCCCAGAAAACGCGAAAGTACACGGAAAATAAATTTCTTAGATACGCGTAGCTCGGAAAGTGCGGTTCGTGTTTTTCCCCTTTTATTTCCCATTTTTTCCTCGAGAGAACGTTCAAGATGAATACGGGCAGTGCAGTGCGTCTTGAGCAACTCAATAAAGACAATTATGATACCTGGAGGATCTAAATGCGGGCGGTTTTAATAAAAAACGACGCCTGGGGTTACGTAAGCGGCGATTTTGCGAAGCCTGCAACCGATGCCGCCGCGACCGGTTGGATTCAAGGGGATTTGAAAGCGCAATCGGACATCATATTGTCGATAAGCCCGTCGGAAATCAAGACAGTGAAGTCGTGCACGACAGCACAAGAAATCTGGTTGAAGTTGGAAGACACTCATCAATCGAAAGCAGCTTTATTAAATCGTCTAATTTCACACAGAATGGGGGACGGTGATGAAGCGCGTAGAAGCACGCAAGAGTTTCTAGACATCGTTGATAAGTTAGCTGACATGGGCATGAGGATAATTTCAGATTTGTTAACGGTAATGCTCCTTCGAAGCTTGCCCGATAGTTTCGAAAACTTTCGGTACGTGATTGTGTCGTGAGACGATCTCCCATCGCCTGAATCGTTACGTATAAAAATATTGGAGTACGAATCGCACAAGGGAGGCCGAAGTATTCCTAATCAAAATGCAATGGTGGCCGGGAAATCCGCAAACAAGAAAAACAATTACAATTGGAAAAGGGAACCTCAGCCTTAAAATCCAAAGGGTAAAGTGAAGTGTTTTAGGTGCCACAAGTGCGGACATTTTGCGAGGGACTGTGACGCGAAAGGGAAAGATCGACCCGTGAATCAGACTGTTAGACGCACCGAGGACGTGAGTTTGTACGACGTGTCGGGTGCGGGAGGACGCAACTAGATTTTTCAGACGTGTGAACGGTCGTATGGGGGCGATTGGTGTATCGACAGTGGGTGTACATCCCATATTTGTAACGATGCCCGTGCGTTTACGAAAGCTGCCGCGTGCAGGCGCGGACGCATAAATATAGAACAAATAATAGAACATTCACAGCTCAAATATTCTCAGCAGGCGATAACTGGACACCTATCCAGTGCCTGAGAAATAAGCTCGTCCATTTTTCTAACAAATAAATTTCAATGAAACTTTTTTCTGGAGTAGAGCTCATGGGTACCTACAAAAAAGTATTAGACAACTTCTCTAACGGCGTCAAACAAAATTACTAAAAATCAAACACGAATTTTTAAGGAAAATCGACTGGAGGTAGGTGCCTTTCGGCGAAATTGAAAAGTTTCAAATCACTCTGGAAAAATTATTTTCGATTGCAGGGGTCAATTGCAATCATTTTTGGTGAATACACATACCTCCGAATTCCTACGTACTTTCGAGAAAAAAATTCTTTACCGAAAATATAATGTGTGGCCAGGACTGTTTGTGTAATTCCATTTTCTGTCTCACTTCCTCTATGTTCATTTGTGTAACCTGTTGGTAATGTTGCGAATGACACGAAAATGGTAATGAGGCGTTAGAACCCCAAAGAAATGGACATATTAGGTGAAAGGTCTATTCGTATATACCTCGACTGTGGTCTAACGGTTATAATTCTTTAAAAAGATGGTAGCATTCAATTTTATACGTTTGCAACTGAACAATTTTCAAAATTCTTTAAGATACGTTTAAATATCGCTAAAGGCTACAACATATTCAAAGTTGAACATAATTTGAAAACTTACTCCAAAAGGCGTCCAATTTTGTGTGGACACCTGATCCCCATTAGCAACCTTTTACTTATTATGCTTTGTTTAAAACAATAACAGAGATAATATGTTCTACAAAAGTTACCACTATTATACTTCAAAATCCATACATATATTACTTATTGTGTAATACATTTATTTATAAGAAAATTAACACACAAGCTAGGGCTTGATCATTTGAATACAACGGACGGTTGATGGATTCTAATTGGATAAGATTACGTTAAGGTATTATTAACAACACGAAATTCAAAATAAAAATGTATGGATTCACGTAGTGATTTTAATAAAATTAACTTTTCCAAATTAATTTTTAAACAAGCAGAGATAATATAAAAACTCGTAAACCCAGTGCAATAATAGCATTTGAAATCTTTGTTAACAATATTTTACTTTGACAAAGATTCTCATTAGAACTTACTGTGTATCTATAATCTTATAATTAATTATATAATTTTTTAAAATTTCCGTATGCATAATTATAAATCTGCACTTTTAATATTATTGCAACAATCGTTTAATAAATATAAAATACTAAAAATATTTTTTTAGCGAAGGTACAATATGGAGAAATCAGAGCGTAATACATATATTTTTTGGCGATCTAGTATCCATTCAATTTCGTCGTGACGTACGCTACAATTGGCGTCATATATTTGGTAAGACAAAATATTTCATAAAATAAGTAAATAATTTCTAATAAACACAAATTAATATGAATAATAATTGTTTTAGCAACATTTGGTGGTCTTCTAGGACTATTCGCTGGCTTTAGCCTTATGTCTATTCTTGAATTTATTTATTTTTTTATTATTACTGTTATAAAAGACGCATATATCAACCGAAGTAATACAAAAAATACAAACTAAATAAACTACTAATAACAATAAATTAGAACAATAAAAAAATATAACGTGGATGCATGTGTAAGTACTTACATGCACGCCTACACGCTTTTCTTAAATTAGGTCATTTATGTTGCCAATATAAAGTACAGGATAACCTTATTGTCATATATAAACATTATATTGCTATTTTACCACTTATTCGTTCGATATTCCGGTAACTGAAAATCTGTAAGCAGTCTACATGACCGCAGTTCAGGTAACTGTGCAATAGAATTTGTTCCATTTAAATTTCCCCGCTTTTGCGTGACAGACTGAATTATCTTTCTGACAGCGGACAAAAAAGTCATTTTATATCCTCCATTTTGTAAAACATTACAAAACTCTTGTATAAACCATGATCCTAAAACGCAAATAAATTTATAGCAAAAACAGTCAATATTGTAATTCAAATTCTAACATTTGACGTATACAATAATCTATACTATTGTTAATTATTACCTTCCGCTTTATGACGTACAGATACAAAACCTTGCATTGTTGCTACGAATATGCAAAAGTTTTGATATGCTAAAATATTTGAAACATTGTAATTACTAGGACCGTCTATAGTTAAGGCATCATTTGCTTGACCTGCAACAAAGTAGTAACATTACATAAAAATTGTCAACATAATAATATAAAATTAAAATATTTCTCACCTATTGCTTGTCCCTGACAAGCTTGTACAATAACGATTTTAATAACATCTTTTAATTTTTCACAGCAAATTTGATTTTCTATTGTCTCGATATAAACTTCTTTCCCATCAGCACTAATTATACCACCTGAAATATAAATAAATTTCACATCTTAACATTTATAGTTGTAGTAAAGATAAACACTAATGATTTACTATGTTTTACCTTTACACCCATGACTTAAAATACATACAAAGATGCAGTCATAATCAATACCAAATTCTTCTGGAATATTTTTCAACTTTTTAAGTATTTCATCTTCTTTGAGGTTTTTGAATACTTTAACAGTAAAACCAAAGCCATTAAAAGTTTCTGATAACATAACACAATCGGCCAAAGTCCCAAATCGAGTTTCAAACTGAAACAAAAGTGTATACATATATGTATACAATACTCAACAATTTCATAACATGCATATAATTAATAGGCACTAAATACAAAGCCCTATACCTTTTGACCTAAAAAAAACATTTGACTTATAATAATACAAAGTCCTTTTTTTATCTTTTTTACATCGTCTACTTCAATTTGTATTTCTTCTTTTATGGAGAATATTTGTAATTGAGATGTACTTTTAAAATTTGCATTTTGTGTATCCAACATGTTCTGATAATCTTCATAGTTTTTAAGATCTTCATAAATAAGTTCTAAATCGTCAAACTTTTTCAAATGTTTCAGTAAGTTTCCAAGGCTTACTTCGCCATCTAAAAAATTAATATTACATAAAATAATAATATGATAGGTCAAAATAGAACACAGGGTAAATTATAAAAAGTAAAGTAGTGTGAAAAAATTAAGATTAACAAACCCAAACAAACTGAAATATATTTACGTTGCATCCAATATAACATATGTAATTCAAGATAATCTGTATCTTTAAGATTTTCTTCATATTCGATTAAATCATTTCTAACACACCTCAATAATGACTGTATTCTGTCTTCTGTAAGTGATTCACACAGTAAGTACAAACATTTTACAACTCGTTTCAAATATCGTGAACAAGATCCATTCTTTGGTAAATAAAATAATTCCAAATCATTATACGAAATTCCTAATTTCCGTATAATCTGCCGATTTTGTATAATACATATTGCTTCCAATAATTTATTTTCCCAATTATTTGGATGGCTATCTATGAATTCTGCAAGTATATACGAACGATGCACCTTAAACCTTTGTAACAAATTATAAATTTGTTGAAAACCACATGTATAATTATCTATTATTAAGAATAAAATAGACATTTTTTCATCAATATCAAGGTCATCTTCTATTTTCTGTAAAATATTTTTGTTCAATCTCTTTCCATTTGCATCAATATGTACTGTAATACATGGTGCTGCATCACTATATAAACTCATTGTTAACTTTATTTGTTATAAATATATTTTTCATGAATCCTAAAACCAGAAAGCAACAAAAAGAGTACTTATTACTACATTGATGTACATAACATAAACTTTATTTGTTCTAAAAAATGTCTTGATATATGAATTTATATGTCAACAAATAATTAATACACACATACTCTTAAAACTATACTAAATTCTTGACATTGAAGCACTCACTGTGAAGTTGGATTCAAGGGATAGCAGGCATATGCTACCGCACGAGCCACGTGTTCGTGAGCTCGGCACTTCGCACAACTTCGGGAAATCGAGAAAGAAGCCGAGTGTGAGCATTTCCTTCTTGCTCTTATAATAACTGAAATACGACCTCGCAATAATTGGCATGCGATCAGAGATGCCAGAAAAGCACCGTCGGGCAGTGTGGCCAGATCTGGCATAATTGAGTGCATCGACGTCGACATTAGTAACGATGAACTTCCTTAGCGTCTAACGAAGTGGTGGGGATAGCAGGCATATACTACCGCTCGAGCCACGCATGCGTGAGCTCGACACTTCGCGCAGCTTCGGGAAAACGATAAAGAACGCTAGCGTGAGCCTTTCCTTCTTGCTCTTGTAACAACTGAAATACGATCTCGCGATAATCGGCATACGATTCCAAGTCTCGACTGTCCCAGCATTTTTACTTTCCGACCTATGCAAGGTGAAAGGAAAGTACCATAACGAAGAAAAATTTCGAAAACTTTTTTTAGCGAAAATACACGTTTTAAGACCCACTGATCATATTGTGACTGTTAAAAAAAAGAAATTTTTTTTCTGTGCCTAAACGACTGAATGTATTTCAATGAAACTTTACATTTATGTTTTATATCCCCGTTTCAATGTCTGATTAAATTTTGAGCGTGATCAGCTCCCGGATAGTGATGATTATACGTGTTATAGTTTTATAATTACGATCTAAATAGGAGAATTAATTGCTACAGAAATAGATTAATCCTGACTTTTTCCGCTATGTTTTTCAATAACCGTATCAATTTGTTACACAGAATCAAATGTTATACAGGATGTACGGCCGCCCCTGGGAAAAATTTTAATGTGAGATTCTAAAGGCCAAAATAATACGAAAATCAAGAATATCAATTTTTTGATTGAGGCTCCGTTATAAAGTTATTAAAAAATTTCAAATCATTCTGATAAAATTATTTTTAGTTGCGGTGGTCAGTTACAATCATTTTTGGTAAATAAACATAACCCTGAAAACCTACGCACTTTCGAGAAAAAAATTTCTGACCGAAAATCTAACGCGAGACCAGAAATGCACCCCCGAAATTTCATGCGAATCTTTAAAATGTCGTCACTTCTAAACGGATTGGGGGATTTTAATGTTTCAAACGGCAAAGAACGCGTATTTTGGTGAAGAATATGTAGAAATTCTAAAAATATTGGAAAAGTTGTTCCTTAATCCCGTAAAGTGATAAAAATGGTCCAATTTTCAAACGGCCATAACTCCTACAATAGTGAATGGATTTGATTGAAATTGTTTTCTGAAGTAGAGCTCATAGGTATCTACAAAAAAGTATTAGACAACTTTTTCTGTTTAGTGCTAACCAAATTTATTAAAAATGAAAAACGAATTTGTAAGAAAAATCGACAGGGTGCTTATTGGAAATAGGTGGTGGAATAAATAAAATAATTTAAACGATATAACTTTTACTAAGCTTTATTTGAAACACTTGGAAGGCACGTCTTTACGCATTGAAAGAAACATACAGAATGAGAAAGGTCAGTGACGAAGAATTCGTCCCGTACCCTCAGACCCAATCGGTCCTATACTTTGTCTAAACAAGTCAAGGAAGGGACACAGCTGCACCCTCTTGACTCGTATCTCTAAACGCAACATACGCGTCGATGGTTTTTGTTACGTAAAGAAAACTTTCTCTTTTTAGAAGAGAAAAACCAACAGTGCTTAAATTCGGCGAAAAAAAAATGTCAAATCGTTCTGAAAAAATTATTTTCGATTGCGGGAGTTAATTACAATTATTTTTAGTCATTAGACATACCCTCGAAATCCTACCCACTTTCGAAAACAAAATTTGAGTAGGTCGAAAAATTTGTCAAGAAAATTAAAATATTTTATATCGTTCTAGAAAAATTATTATTAGTTACGGGGGTCGATTACAATCATTTTTGGTGAACAGAATACCCCCGAAATCCTACGCATTTTCGAGAAAAAAATTCAGAAAGAGGCCTAAATTTTTCGACGAAAAAAGAATTTCTTTTTTTTTTAATAGTCACAATATGATGAGGGGGTCGTAAAACGTGTATTTCCTACAAAAAAAGTTGTGTATTCCTACAAAATAATTTTTTCCAGAATGATATGAAATATTTTAATTTTCTCGAAAAATTTTTCGACCTACTCAAATTTTGTTTTCGAAAGTGCGTAGGATTTCGAGGGTATGTCTAATGACTAAAAATAATTGTAATTAACTCCCACAATCGAAAATAATTTTTTCAGAACGATTTGAAATTTTTTTTTTCGCCGAATTTAAGCACCCTGTCGATTTTTCTTACAAATTCGTTTTTCATTTTTAATAAATTTGGTTAGCACTAAACAGAAAAAGTTGTCTAATACTTTTTTGTAGATACCTATGAGCTCTACTTCAGAAAACAATTTCAATCAAATCCATTCACTATTGTAGGAGTTATGGCCGTTTGAAAATTGGACCATTTTTATCACTTTACGGGATTAAGGAACAACTTTTCCAATATTTTTAGAATTTCTACATATTCTTCACCAAAATACGCGTTCTTTGCCGTTTGAAACATTAAAATCCCCCAATCCGTTTAGAAGTGACGACATTTTAAAGATTCGCATGAAATTTCGGGGGTGCATTTCTGGTCTCGCGTTAGATTTTCGGTCAGAAATTTTTTTCTCGAAAGTGCGTAGGTTTTCAGGGTTATGTTTATTTACCAAAAATGATTGTAACTGACCACCGCAACTAAAAATAATTTTATCAGAATGATTTGAAATTTTTTAATAACTTTATAACGGAGCCTCAATCAAAAAATTGATATTCTTGATTTTCGTATTATTTTGGCCTTTAGAATCTCACATTAAAATTTTTCCCAGGGGCGGCCGTACATCCTGTATAACATTTGATTCTGTGTAACAAATTGATACGGTTATTGAAAAACATAGCGGAAAAAGTCAGGATTAATCTATTTCTGTAGCAATTAATTCTCCTATTTAGATCGTAATTATAAAACTATAACACGTATAATCATCACTATCCGGGAGCTGATCACGCTCAAAATTTAATCAGACATTGAAACGGGGATATAAAACATAAATGTAAAGTTTCATTGAAATACATTCAGTCGTTTAGGCACAGAAAAAAAATTTCTTTTTTTTAACAGTCACAATATGATCAGTGGGTCTTAAAACGTGTATTTTCGCTAAAAAAAGTTTTCGAAATTTTTCTTCGTTATGGTACTTTCCTTTCACCTTGCATAGGTCGGAAAGTAAAAATGCTGGGACAGTCGAGACTTGGAATCGTATGCCGATTATCGCGAGATCGTATTTCAGTTGTTACAAGAGCAAGAAGGAAAGGCTCACGCTAGCGTTCTTTATCGTTTTCCCGAAGCTGCGCGAAGTGTCGAGCTCACGCATGCGTGGCTCGAGCGGTAGTATATGCCTGCTATCCCCACCACTTCGTTAGACGCTAAGGAAGTTCATCGTTACTAATGTCGACGTCGATGCACTCAATTATGCCAGATCTGGCCACACTGGGCCACACTGCCGTCGGGTGCAGAGATGCCAGAAAAGCACCGCCGGGTGCACACGCAACATGCCAGATACGCGTACGTGAGCTCGTGGAGTTTCGGAAAGTCGACAAAGGCAAACTGACGCATGCCCTCTTTCTCGATTCTCCGAAGCTGCCCGAAGTAATTTCGGATCGCCTCGTGGGAGTCGAGAGAGAAAGGCTCACATTTGCCTTCTCGCTCTAAACAACTGAAATCCGACCTCCCGTGAACGGCATACGATTTGGATTCTCGAGCCGAGATTCTCGACTGCCCAGGCATTTTTACTTTCCGACCTATGTAGGCGCACATAAGCAAAGTACCCATAATGAAAAAAAAATTTTGTAAAATTTATTTTACGGAAATACACGTTTTAAGACCCCCTGATCATATTTTAATTATTGAAAAAAAAGAAATTTTTTTTATTCCCATGTATGAGCACACATATGTATATTATTAATACGATTTTTGAAAATCAAAATACTTTCAGATTGAAAATTAATAAATTAAAATGAGATTCCACTTTTTACCTGTTAGAAACGTAGAAATCAAGGAATGCCTGAAGCAGGCCATGTGCTTCTCCTTAGCGCGCCTCCCCCTCTTAAAGGAGGATCGGCCAGAATGTTTAGACAAAGAAGGACCGTACTGTCAAGGGTGCCCTCACGACCCTGGTTTTCTGTCAGGGTACAGAACTGTATTGGCTTTTGCCGTGAGCAGATATACGCTACAGTTTTAAGAAACAAGCCGTGTCGATTTATTTAAAACGCCCGACCGCTATCCAGATCCTGATACCGAACTTTTCTTACATACCAGTATTGTGCATGCTGTGGCATTTTTCAATAAGAAGAGTTCTTACTTTTATAACATAAACAAAATAGTAGAATTAATAATAGCAGAAATTAATTAATAATGATTTTCCTCGATTGTTTTGAGATAACCGTATCAATTTGTTATGACGAACTAAATAGAACTAACTAGAAACAAAGGAAAGGTGGTCCCGTTTGCCAGTTTAATACAAAGTATGGGTTGGATCTTAAATTTTAAAAGGACATAGTCGAATATTTTTAAAGGTACAAAACATAGCGTTTCATTTTAGAACAGTAACATGAGTTAGCAGGTAATGTCATAAAACTGTTTTTCCCAGTTATATCCCTTTTTACCTGAAGTATAAGGTAAAAAGTACGAGCTACAAGGTACGACTATCCGAAAATCGTTCACATTTTATCAATGTAAATGAAGCGGCCTTTCCATAAGAGTTAAATACAACATTTTGTTATTTCTGTGAAAACAGAACTTTCATTAGATGTAGGTGGTGCTTGAAATTGTTATGTTTTCACTGTTTTTACGAAAAGTACCAT